TAGCTGGGAGGGAGCACCTCCCTTGGCTCAGGAGGCTGGTGGGGTCATGCCCCTAAAACTTCTGCTGCTGCTGCTCCCACGTGTGCTTCTTCCACGGTTCCCATGGTCCTGGGCACCCCTGTCCCTGTGTGTGACCCCCTTGTGTCCCCACGGTCCTGCCTCCTGCTGGGCATCCCTGTCCCTGTGTGGGACCCCGTGCTCTCCCTGTCCCCGCATGGGACCCCCTTGTGTCCCTGTGGTTGTACCATTGCTGGGCATCCCTGTCCCCGCATGGGACCCCGGTGCTCTCCCTGCTTTGCGCCTGTGGTCTGTCCCCTCCGCAGCTTCTTCTCCATCCCCCCGTGCCCAGGCTCCCCACGGATGCTGCCGGTTTGGCGTGCTGTGGAGTGTGGCACCAGCTGCAGGTGTGGCAGGAGTTACTGGAATTACTGGAGCCCGGTGTGGGAACAGGCAGGGACAGGCAGCTGAGGCAGAGGGAACCTCTGCATCTCATCCCCATGCTGCTCAGCAGAGTGGTGCTGAGCTTGGGCACAGGCCAGGTCCCCAGGGCACGGGGCAGGGAGTGTGTTTGTGTGGGACTTCCAATGGGAGCATCCTTTTTATTATTATTTTTTTTAAAATTTTTTCCCTATATTAAAGCTCCAGTGGGTGGTCAGGGTTGCCTGCACTGGCTTTCACAGGTGTTCACCGACAGCCGGGTGACTTGTCCCCAAGAGGGCACAGCAGCATTTTTACTGCTCCATAGCCCTGGCAGGAACACACCCGTGTCTTTTAGCCCTCAACGGGGTTGGTTCACCTTCCAAGGCCACTGTCACCTCCCAGGAGCACGTACGGCTGTCTCAGCTAGGGTGGGTCCAGCCGCCCTGCCTGCAGAAAGTTGGGTGAGAACAAGTCATGTGGAGGCATTTTACAAGCGTTCTTCCCTCTTACAGCACCATCCAACATCCTTTCCAGGTGCTACCAGGGGACAAGGGTCACAGCAACAGGCAAAGATGGACCTGGGCTGGTCTGCAAAGGGTGGGGAGCTGCAGGAGCTGCCAGCAGAGCCACCAACACCTTGAAAATAGTCAATATACATGTAATGGCACAGCCTGTATCGCTCCGGTGCCAGCCACGGGCCGTGCACTCCGTGCGTCATTGGGAGTGTGTTTATTCCACCGTATTCCTGGAGAGTTGCAGTTCCTACTGAAATGCTGGGTAGATGCGTCATTCTGCCATGAAAACCATCCCATAGTGTTTGAACAGAATTTACAGCATCATCCCTTGCTTCAAAACATCAAAGCTTCCTCTGGTTTTCTTCTAGTTCCTCCCAGTGACCTGAAACGCAGCCGCTCCCTTGTCACACAAGGGCAGGGAGCCCCGGGGCAGGGATGGGAGGGCTCCTGGCTCTCACCCAGGGAGGACGAAGGTGTCGGAGCTGGGCACGGGCAGGTGGGACTCGAGCTCTCCGAAGATGCCCTGTTACACACGCATCATGCCCAGCAGGAAATGCCCGTGGGCTGCACGGGGACACTGGAGAGGACCTTCCTGGGGACCCACCCTGGGACCTGCCCTGGGCAGAGGAGCAGAAGCTTGGGGTGATGGGGATCAAAACCCAGGCTGCTGTCCCAGTGGGGATTTCTGTGCTGGGGGTATGTGGCTGTGCGCTGGGAGCAGCAGAGAGCCCTTGGATCTCATCCCCGTGCTGCTCAGCAGAGTGGTGCTGAGCTTGGATGGAGAGGACCTTCCTGGGGACCCACCCTGGGACCTGCCCTGGGCAGAGGAGCAGAAGCTTGGGGTGATGGGGATCAAAACCCAGGCTGCTGTCCCAGTGGGGATTTCTGTGCTGGGGGTATGTGGCTGTGCGCTGGGAGCAGCAGAGAGCCCTTGGATCTCATCCCCGTGCTGCTCAGCAGAGTGGTGCTGAGCTTGGACACGGGGCAGGTCACCAGGGCATGGGGCAGGGAGTGTGTTCGTGTGGGACTTCCTAGGGGAGCATCTTTTTTTTTTTTTTTTTTTTTTTTTTTTTGGTTTTGTTTCCAATATTAAGTTATTTTTTTTTTAATTAAAGCTCCAAAACTGAAGTGGCAATGGCAGAAGGTGGTGCCATGCCTTGCAGGGGGTGGTGGGGGAGGGAAGGGGCCACAGGTGAAGGTGGTGGAGATGGAGATAGATGGAGATGATGGAGATGGGGATGGAGATGATGAAGATGGAGATGGAGCTGGATGGAGATGGATGGAGATGGAGATAGACGGAGATGTTGGAGATGATGGAGATGATGGAGATGGAAGCACAGGTGCAGCCTTTCCATGGGTCAGGTGGGTTTGGGGATGGTGCTGTGGAGCAGATCTGCTGCTCTGAGGGTGCAGCCACTCGCCAGAGAAGGACAGGTAGGAGCAGGGCTCCAGGGACCATGGTGGTCCCAAGGAATCGAGGAAGAGGAGGACAAGGCACTGGCACAGACAGGTGAGGGAGGGAGGGATGGGAACTTCTTGGCTGGGCTCAGGGTGATGGAAAAAGACAAGGAAATCCGCTGCCTTGGAGCCTGCTAAGAAAGCAGGTGAAGAAGGAAGAGAGGAGAGGGGGAGGCGAACAGGCTGAGATGCTTGGGGACCAAAGCAAGGATCACGGCGACTACTGAGAGCTCGGGAGAGCTGTGACTGAGCTGTAGCAGTTTTGGGACACTGCGGATGTAAAAATATCCCACTTTAAGCAAATCATGATGAAAGTTGAACTGAGGATGAGAAGACAGGATTGAAGTGTCCTTCCTTGCCTGCCTATGGCAGGGAGGTTGGAACTCGATGAACTTTTAGGTCCTTTCCAACCCAAACCATTCTGTGATTCTATGATTCTAAGTGTTGAAGCAGCGAGGCTCCAAAGCAGGACTCCCGTAAAATGAGGCGTCTGACTCGCATAGGCAGGGGGGCGAGGTGCTCCTGCCCTTGGAGGAGGGCTGTGTTTGGGGAAGGCTGTGCTGGGAAGGACGGTGGGGGCTCCACGGCTTTGCAGTGGGGGTGGCGGTGCCCTGCCAGCAGGGACCGCTCGTGGACCGGAGCTGCCCTCGCTGTCTCTGAACGCAGCATCCTGAGCTGGACACCCACTGCAGAACCACCTGCAGAGCATTTCTCTGATGGCTTTTCCTTCCAGACCACCAATCAGCCCGAGGGACCTGACACCACGCCGGCGATGACCACTCAGCACGTCATCACGGTCCAGCCCCAGTTTTTGGCCGGTCAGCGGCCAGGCCAGTGGCAGACGGGGCTGATGGACTGCTGCTCCGACTGTGGCGTCTGTGAGTACACACGTCCCCCTCGCTCCTGCTGCTGCGTGCAGCATGTCTCTGGTGGTTTCCCTGTTCTTTCCACAGCATCATCCCTGCTGCATGCCCTGCCTGGGTGGGTACGGGCAGCCACCAGCTCTTGCCACAGCCCTGGCCAGCTTTCCCCCCTCTCCCTGTTCCTTGCCCCCCCAACCCAGCCCATTTCTCGCCATCCTGCAGGTCTTTGCGGAACCTTCTGCTTCCCCTGCCTGGGCTGCCAGGTGGCTGGGGCCATGAACGAGTGCTGCCTGTGCGGGACCAGCGTGGCCATGAGGGCCCTCTACCGCAAAACACCCGGGTCGTTGGTTCCCCCGCCGCTCACCGTGCTGGTGGGCTGAAAGATGAGATGCCCCTGAGGCCCCCATCTCAGCACATGGCCTCTTCTCTGGAGCAACAAGTGATGGGACAAGAGGAAACGGCCTCAAGTTGCACCAGGGGACGTTTAGGCTGGATATTAGGAAAAATGTCTTCACTGCAAGAGTGATGAGGCGTTGGAACAGGCTGCCCAGGGCAGTGGTGGAGTCACCATCCCTGGAGGGGGTCAAGAAAAGTGTAGATGTGGTGCTTGGGGGCATGGG